AAATAATATTTATGCATAGAAATATTATTTTCTGCACAGAAAATGCTATTTCCTGTGTATAAACTTCTGTTTTTCTGTGTTAAAGAACCATGTGCATATTTTGTTCAGCAGAAGTTGTGAACTGTGAATAGGCTTTGAAAACGGAGTGGTCGTGAAGGCTTTCTCAGCATGGGAAGAAAATTACTAAAATTACTCTTTGCGTCCTTCAAGAAGAAATGTAGTGAAGCGTTATATCCTTAATTACCTCTCTCCATGCCCAGAGACATTTTATTAAGCAGATCTGATAATTCCAAAAGGCTGACTATATCTTTGTGGATTGCAACTTCCAGCATACTGGCTGGGGACTGTTGGAGTTATAGCTTCCAAGATGCCTAGCCTGAGGTTGGGAAAAATGACTTCTCAGCTCCAATTCCAAGCAAGCTGACTGGGGATTATGGGAGCTATAATTTAAAAATGAAGCATAGCAAAGCCTGAGCTTGAGAAAGTTACTTTTTGGATTACAACTCCCATCATTTGGAATGCGGAGTCTGGGAGTTGTAGCCAGGGGGAAAATGAGATTTTTCTCTACTTATCACAGAAGCGGCAAAAGACCACAGCTGCCATATGAGTGAAGAAGTCCCACCTGTGAGGGAAGAACATCTGGTTGTTCCACAAACCATTTCTGGACATTTCCTCAGAGATGGCCTACGGCCCAGTTTTTCAGAAAAAATGGAAACTGGAGCAGAAAAGGACTACGTGGAAATTTACATCATAGAGTATACCTCTAGACAGTGACAACTTATGACTTTCATGTCAATGAGGTCACTCAATCTGCTCTAGATAGTAATCTGAACTGTACAGGATCTCTCCATGGTGCTGAACCAATTTTGGGGACAGAGTGCAACACTAGGATAACTCCTTTAAAGTTTAGACTAAACTCCAAGACAGAGTCACTGCCTCACTGATATGGGAGCCACAAACTCCTACTGCTGAGATTATCTGTCTTGACCAAACCTTTTCAGGGTCCAAAATACTGCTAGTTATGATCAATAACACTGGGCTAGATGAATGAGGGTTTTTGTGTGTCAAGAAAACAACATCTTCTGCACAGAAAAGTTCCTTTCCTTGAAGAAAGTAATGTTTTCTGTGCAGGAAACATGTTTTTGTGCAAGAAATAGAAGGAAAATTTCATTGGAGGACAAGATTATCCAGGGGACAATACCTACATTTCCCCCAGTACCCCTGAACTACAACAGATAAAAAGGCACACCATAGGCAACAGGGTTTCTGTTATTCCACTCTCACCTTTCTCTAAAACATCTAGTGTCTGTCTGTGGCCCTAGCCCAGAAAAAAATGTAACATCCCCTGGCCATTTAATGTACAAACATTTCAATGAGTTTAGAAACACTTGGAAACTGCACAGATGTCCCAATGCCTCTGCTGGATTACACATGCCCCTTCTTGTTCTCCTCATGCCTCAAAGACACTTTCCAGTCTCGTGATGTTTCCAGTACATGAAGGGAAAGTGCCACAGGGCAGTGATCTATTATGCACGAGGTTGCTTGCCAATAAGAGCCCCCACCATGATGGTTCAGATGCCCAAGGGAGGGGAGAACAGCATGTGAGAATAAGGCTGGAGCCGTCTTTGATCTCCGTAGACTAAATTAATTCCTTAAACTGGAGGGTTCACATTGGAAAGCTGGCAGGCTTGGAGAGGAGAGGAGGAAGGAATTCTTGCCTCTAGAAATGGAATTCTGAAATGGGTTCCTTCTTTCTTCCATCCTCCTACAGCCAAAGAGTCAAATCTGGCAAGGCAGAGCTATTTATGCTTTCACAGATACGCTCAGTTTTATTATTTTTGTAGTGCTTCCCAAGTTGAGTGACCTGTTGGGCCAGGGACAACACTTGAAGAAAAGAAATGAATGTGGAGACCAGCGGCACATTGTGACTTTCATGTCAGGAGTGCAGTGAATCGACTTTCAGTAGACTTTAAAGGAGCTGTCCAAGGTATCAGACCTATTTTGGGGCCAGGTTTCATCACCCTGGAAAGCTCCTTTAGAATAAAGAAGTGTAGAGTACAATTCAGAACAGATATGGCACACCTCAATGTGGAAATAACTGGCTCCCACAAGTATTTGATCGAGGGATGTAAATCTTTGTAAAGTTCATTCTCACAGGCAAGACCAAATAAAAGTATATTATGTGAAATCAAAGGCTCTCACGGCTGGCATCCATACTTTTTTGTGGTTTTTTCGGGCTACGTGGCCATGTTCTAGAAGAGTTTATTCCTGATGTTATGCCAGCATCTGTGGCTGGTGAAGATGCCAGCCACAGATACTGGTGAGATGTTAGGAATAAACTCTTCTAGAACATGGCCACGTAGCCCAAAAAAACTACAAAAATGATTAAAGTGCCATTTTTGTGCAGAATAACCCCTTTATTGTGCAGAATATGTATCTCACCTTTTTTAGTGGAGCAGTGACGCCAACCTTGGACTTTAGATGAATGTTAAAGGAGCGATCCAAGGAATTGAATTCTATCCCCCTTCCTCAAATACATTCAGCATTTTTGGATAATTTGTTCAGACTACAACTAGAGCAGATTGTCTAGTCCATTGGTAGGCATGGGTAGGCATCTTACAGGCTGTCAAGTGCCTAAAGCCCATAAAGAAGTCCACAGGAACCAGTTGCTACTCTATGGATGAAAAGGGAGAAGGGGGAAATGCTGCCAGCAGGAGTGGTTGCTCCTTCTCCTTTTCTCTGTCATCTCAGTTGCTCCTAAAATTGTAATGGATACAAAATTGTAATGTGGAAACCAGGCTGAGACTTTCCTAAACCTGGAGTGATGCTTTTTGCCTTAAAGCCTGTGACCCTCCAAAACATGGAGTGATGCTGCTGCTACTGTTGCAGCTCCTGTTCTTGTGTGCCTTCTAGTCTGGAGTGATGCCTTCTTCCTTAAAGCCTGAAACCCTCCAAAAGCTGGAGTGATGCCTCTTCCCTTAAAGCCTGCCTTTGCATCTGTACAGAGCAGAGTCTTGGCTCATGCATCTATGAAAAGTAGAAGATCTTGGATATTGAATTTTAATCTAAGCACCACCTCTCTCCTTTCTCTCATAAATTAAAGTATTTTTAACACATACTGCTCCTTCTTTTTTCTCTCCTTCTCAGCATCACTCCACTCTCCCACCAAACCACCCAACCAGCCAAATTTCTTTCCTGGATATACTGGCTGCAGATAAGCAAATATTTCAATTCCCCTCCCCGCCCCACCATGCAGATGAACGCACAAGGGCAGGCTCTTGCATTAAGGATGAGTAATTTCCAAACAGATGCTGCTTGGTTCCCTCACCCTTAGGGACATAGCCCCAGAAAGAGACTGAGAATATGTGTTTGTGTGAGAGAGATGTTGACAGGAGCTGCTGGGAAGATTCCTACCAAGACCGAGCAGAAGAAGAGCCCTGCAGGATCAGATCAAGGGTCTCTCTAGTTCAGCTTTTTGCTTGTTTCAGCAGCATTCAGTTTGCCTCTAGGAAGCTTGGAGGCTGTTCCTTTATGTACCGAGATCTGACACATACACCTTCCAGATGCAGATTCCAGAACCAAACAAGAAGGAATCACTCTACCAATCTTGGGCCCAGAGAATCTGGGCTGGCACATAAGGGGAAAGCTGGTTGAGACCATGGTGGTTCCTCTTCGTCTCTCCCTGGAGAATGGCAGTGGGGACAGGAGGCAGTCCCCCTCCCCATTGTGTGGTTGTCTCCTTCCTTCCCCCCAACACAAGCCATTAAATGCAGCAACACAGGGATTGGCAGCTACTTGGAGGTTGGGAAGGTTTTGCATCAAGCACAAGGGGATGGTGAATAGCCCTTTGTGCCCCATTTGAAACAAGACATTGTTGTTGTTGTGTGCCTTCAAGTTGTTTATGGCAAGCCTCTCACAGGGACTTCTTGGCAAGATTTGTTCAGAGAAGGTTTGCCATAGTCTTCCCCCGAGGCTGAGAGAGTATGACTTGCCCAAGGTCACCCAGTGGGTTTCATGGCTGAGCTGGGAATCGAACCCTGGTCTCCAGAGTCATAGCCCAATGCTCAAGCCACTACACCACACTGGTGCTTGTGTAAGAAGACCTGCACACATGTTATCTTGAGCTACTAATGTGTGTGTTATTAGCAGGATTTTGGACAGAATGATGGAACCAGTTGAACATTTTTGATCTGGTCCAGACATTTAATAATAATAATAATAATAATAATAATAATAATAATAATAATAATAATAATAATATTTCTTATATATTTCGTATATCCCACCTTTTCCCTAAACAAGAAAGATAGATTTCACCTATCAAGGCATTTTCTATTTGACATATAAGGGGGATGACCTTCTAGATGTTGTCAGACTCCAGATCCCATCCTCTCCATCCACTGATTAGTGAAGATGGAAGTTGGAGTCCAACGTCAAGAAGATGACTGGTTCCTCATCCCTGACAAGCACCATTAGTCTCTGGTACATTTATTTTTTCTTTCTTTGCTTCATTCTAGGGTCATTACAGGTGAGTTTTTCTGTGTTCAGTTTCTATGTAAAGATGTCTATCTGTCTATTTATCTATCTATCCATTCATCAAAAATTTTAAATTAAATAAATAATGGGCCATGTCCTTTAAAGGAACTGTAATCATTATCAGAGGCAATAACTCATGGATCTATTTCTTCATGATGACCTAGAGATATCAAAACCCAAGTTCTGATAGATGGGAAAGCAACCAAAAGAAATCCAAATTAAAAAAGATATTTTTAAAATATAATAATAATAATCACATTGCATTTAATTTTAAGTTTGAAATACCCATCATAACTGGACTGTAAGATCAGGATACTCCAATTTGTTAAAAGGCTTTTAACCTTTTTTGGACTGAAATGTAGTTCAGATTTTGAAAATCGGCACATTGCCTTCTACCTTAGCAGAGGTGATGCATTAAGTAAGAAAAGACTGAGAGTGACATACAATTTCTGGGGAAAGAATATTCAGAACATTTTTCAACCTCCAAAGCTAAATAAAAAATTCAACAAGGTTGTTCTCTTGCACAAGGCCAAAAGGTGGAGCACACCTTCATACATTTCCCTGAAAATAGTACAAGAATCTAATATTTATTTATTCAGTTTATATGCAAACTTTCTATTAATGTGGGACCCAAGGTGGCTCAGAACACATATTAGAACACAGTGCAACCTTCTTCTTATTTTTTAATGTAATTTAAAAAATTAAAGCAATTAAATATACTGTCCTATTAAAAATAGCACTAATTGGAATTATTTTAAAGCAATTAAAACATGAAAGTACAGCATCCCCATTTAAAGACAGGGATATAATTCCCCACTATAAGTTTTGTTTTGAAGGAAGCAGTGAGTAACACATTTCTTCCTGTTGCAAGAAAGTCATGCTGTTTTTTTAAAGCCTGTTACCAACTGAAGACTTATTCTATGCAAAATTTGCAGGTGACTGTTTTGCACAAAACCCAGCATTTTCTGCAAAGAAAGGCATATTTCTACATAGAAATATGATTCCCCATGCAGAAAATGCTGTTTCTTGTGCAGAAAATGTTGCTTTCTCTGCAAATCAACCATGTGTTAATTTTGTGCAGAATAAATTCTTCATTACAGAATTTTCTGCACAGGGAACAGAATTTTCGATGCAGGAAATATACATTTCAAAATCATATGAAACAAGGGCACCAAGAATTATAGTTTGCAAAAAACAACAACAACTTATGCAATTTTCACCAAAAAAGAGAGAAACAATGCACCAATGCCATTGCTTTGTACAAATGTGCAAAAACCTCTCACCTGGTGGGAATTAAAATCTGAGGTTTTCATTATTCTCATTCTTTTTTTTCAAAAAGCAGTTGAGCAGGGACTTACATCCCTAAATACAATTAGGAGCTATTCCACGGCAAAAACACAGCACGATTTAATGCTTCCCAAGATGGAAGCTAAGCAGCAGGATCTGGAGAGACCTTGCAAAAAAGTTAACATTTCTTACCTTACTGAGCATCTGGGACTGCCCCACCAGGATCAACACATTGGAAGCCAAAATGGAGACGCAGAAATTCAGGAGAATGATGGAGCGCTCTGACTTGATAAACCTGAAAAACATAAGGAGTGGAAAGAGTAGGGAACATCTTTTTTAAGAGATGTCCAGAGGTCACACATACTTCATTGTATACTTACAGCCCTCTGCATTTGTGACATTTTGCAGATTTTATTATTTATGGATTTAATATGTTTTCTCTAGGAATCTTTAGGTCCTCCAGTACAACGCTGGCCAACTTCCACCAGGAGTTATGCTGGAGGACCTAGAGACTTCGAAGGAGAACACTTCTCTAGGCATTTGTAGGTCCTCCAGCACAATTCTATGATCAACGTCCGACAGATGTTGACCATAGAGTTAGCTTGGAGGTCCTTGAGATTCCTAGAGAGAAAAGTGGTTTCTTTTGTTTGCGGTTTTTCCATTTTCACAGGGGTTCTCCAGCATCCCTAACCACAGTGAATGTGGAGGGCCCACTGTATTTATATGTCTCAAGAGAGCAGTAGAGGTATTTCTCCATGGATTCATCTTCTGGAATTTTGTTGATATGGGGAGCTGCACAAGTCTGCCTTAAGATTAGCCTCTCATGTGTTTCTGATTCCATGCATCAAGGTTGGGCAAAGTGTGGTCCCTGTTTTGGGACAAAAGAAATGGAAACTTGAAATATTTTACCCCTGGGAAGAGCCCAGAGGGCTTCCAAATGTGGTACTAGAAATGCCCTTCACACCCTTTAGAGGAGATTTTGGGCATCTTTCAACACTGCACAAAAAAGGCCCAGTGAGTTGCATGTGCAATGAGTTGCACTTTGCCCATTCCTGTTGTACCTTCTCCCACTTTATTGGAAGCTTTGAAATTACCATGGGATGGACTCATGGCAAAGTAAAGCATGTTACATTACAATGATAATGTAACGGAGGAGAGAAAATGTCTCCATTCTTACTTTTCCCTTCAATTTCCATTGCATACCTGGTGTACTGGATCTGGTTAGCTCCGTTGCCCATTTCTAACCCCTCTCCCTCCTAACCTTGGACAGATAGTCTAACTTACCTCCAAAAGGCAGCATAGATTACTAGCAAGGTGAGCAAAGCCATGCAGGAAACGGCACAACCGATCATAAGAGGAACGGAAGGAGAGGCACCTGAATCCATGGCCTGCAACACAGAAAATGCAAAGAAGGGATGGATTTGAGATGTAGATCTGTGATGGGAGAACTCCACGAAGCTGCAACCACATTAGAAAGTTTCCTATACTTTCTATGTTCTGGGATCTTTCATGCTACACAATTACAGTCCTTAGGACACTGGCCAGAAAACACCAGGCTGCTCCAAGAAGATTCGTTCCTCAGAGCTGCCCTGGATTCTTTCCATTAAAGCAAAGCAGCTTCATTTTTGCATAACTCTGCACTCCATAGCAATGCTCTGGATTTTCCTGCAAAATCCAGAGCAAAGGGTGAGG